TGTTGAATCTCGTCAGTGGCTTCCATGTCATTCAGGGTAAAAGCCAAAGTTCTTCCCAGGGCAAACAAAGCCCTAAGTGGCCCACGTACCTCTCTGTCTCCTTCCCTGACTCTTCTTCCGTGTGTTGGCCCTAGTCCAAGCACACTGGTCCCCAGCTGTTCTGGAAGTTTGCCAGCCTGCTTTATTCCCATTTGCTCACCCCTTCTGAGCAACACTTTCTCTCCAACCCGATTCAAAATTGCAAACTCCCTGTGTTCCTGGTACCCCTGGTCCCTTTCTCTGCTTTATTCTTCTCCTGCTTACATACTACATCATCAGTATAATGTATCTTATTTATTATCGGACTCCCTCATGAAGGCAAAGATTTTTGTCTGTCTTGGTCACTGCTGGTCACCCCTGGCACCTAGTGGACCCTCCATAAATGTTTATTGTATAAATGAGCAGAAAATGCAAGGAGTGCCTGTAAACCAGCACCAGCAGATTTTTCCCTTGTAGGATGCAGGCTGTTCTTGCTGGGGCCATCGACTTCTTTTAAGACAGAAATGCAGATATTTTTGAGAAATCTTCAGTTTTTAAAAAATGTTGGCAACTAAATCAATTTTTTCAAAAGGCTATGTATGAAATTTTCTTAAAAATCCATTCATTGGCTGAATTTGACCCACAGGCCTTAGTTTGCAATCTGTAGTGTAAGTTGAACTGGCTTTGCCTTTTGTAAAAAAATTTGTTTTAATGCTTTATTTATTTTTGACAGAGAGAGAGAGAGAGGGAGAGAACAAGCGGGGGAGGGGCAGAGAGAGAGGAAGACAAAGAAACTCAAGCAAGCTCCAGGCTCTGAGCTGTCACCACAGAGCCCGACTCAGCTCACAAACCATGAGATCATGACCTGAGCAGAAGTCAGATGCTTAACCGACTGAGCCACCCAGGCGCCCCTGGCTTTGCCTTCTTAACTGAAGACTTGCAAGTTTTCCAGAATTAGCAGCCAGAAAATGTATTCCTAAATTTTTCTTCTGTGTCCCTTGGTCCTACTCCAGGAAGCACGTCTCCAGAATCACACATCACCAGAGGAGGGGTTAGATATGGCTTGGAGAAGGTTTGTAGAGGGTTTCCACCTATGTATGAAGCATTCGGATCTGGGGCCTGCGTGGGTGCCATCTGGTGGTGCCAGCATTGGAATCCAAGTGTCCTTAAATGTTCGTCACTGGTCTTCCAGATACGCATCACTTCTTGCCATAGTGCATGATCCCAGGCAGTCCTCCAGGGCAAGACTTGCAAGAAAATATGAACTAAAATGAATTGCAAGGCTGAAACCCTGAGGTGTGCTCCGTGTAGGCCCAGACCCTGAAGTGAGATAAAAAAGGCACCCTCTTACCTTGCTGGTTGAAGTCCAAAGGGGTCCACTTCTAGAGAAGTAGTTTGGCAATATGTATCACGCATACAAATGCATGTACTCTTTGACTAAGGAATTTACCCTACAGAGAAACTCATGTGTGTTGGAAATGAGTTAAGATGAGGAGGTTTCTCACTGTGACACTTTTTTTTCATAACAAAAGCTTGAAAATGACCTAAATGTTCTATAACATGTAAGTAGATAATAATAAGTAAAAAAACAATAAACAAAATCTTTGTGTGCCGATACGTCAAGTCCTCCTGCATGACTGTTTTATTTATTTATTTTTACAGCAGGCCGATAACATTGTGTATGCTCTGCTACCATTTGTAGCATGAAAGGGGATTGTACATGCATAGCTCTATACATGCATAAAATATCTCTGGCACAGCAAAGGGCAGTCCGTTATCAGCGGTTACCTCTAAGAAAGGGAGTTGGTGACAGAATCACAAGGAAGAATAAACTGTCAATAAATTTACTTCAGGATATTTTTATTTTGAACTGTGTAAATATTTACTACATTAAAAAGAAATGCCAGGGTACCTGGGTGGCTCAGTTGGTTAAACAGCCAAGTCTCTGTTTCGGCTCAGGTTATGATGTCACAAATTCATGAGCTCAAGCCCCACCTGGGGCTCTGTGCTGACAGCGTGGAGCCTGCTTGGGATTCTCTCTCTCCCCTCTCTCTCTTTGCCCCTCCCACACTCGTGCTCATTCCGCGCCCCCCCCCCCAATAAATAAATAAATAAATAAACTAACAAACTTGAAAAAATTAAATTAAAAAAAGGAGAAAAAGAAATGCCTTATTATGTGCTTAGAAATTTCCCTAGAAAGGCACCTATTGTAGTGTTGTTTCCAATAATAAAAAACGGGAGCAGTCTTTCATATCAAATAATTGGATATGGGTTAAATAAAAATTTTACCCTATGTGAGTTTATTCTCATTTTATAAATTTCTGTTACAACTTTTTTTGCCTTTTTCTCTCTTGATTAAAGATATTGCCTGTAACTTCATGTTGGAATATGTCCATTCTTCAGAACTTTTTAGTTTTTTTTTTCCAGACCTTCTTCAGAAGAGTCTTTTTGTTTTCTTCTTTTTTGTTTTGATGAGGAGTGGTAACATTTTGAAGAAGAAAGTAATGATAACTTTAATAAAAATGATTAAGGCCAAGAAAAAAATTAGGGTGATCAAGTCAGCAAGCTTATCACTTCTTAGCCTTTTGGCTAAGATCAAGTGCAAATCACCAAGCTTGATTCTTTTGGGCAGATGACTGCATAACCCTTAATTTATTAAAACATTACATTGTGAGCTTTTATTCAGGCCTTATTAGATAATCAGCCATAAAGAGAAATTTGTACTATTTCACATGGGTTTAAATAGGTTTCTCTTCCTCTCGAATTCTGTAATTCTAAGTTAGCTTCATATTGGAACACCATACAGTCTCTTTTCCCTGAAAACACATTCCAGAAAGTGACTTAATCTTGTTATAACCTTATTAGCCCAAATGCAGCCATCATTAGCATTATTTGACATATGAACTTGGGCAGAGCCCTTTATTTTGCTTTAGTTTTTCTTCCCAGTAAAATAAATTGGCAGAATGTTGAGCCCTTGGGATTGTGTTGGACATGCAAGACATCATAATTGTATTTACATGTAGTTCATAATTTTTATCACAACATGCATTTACTAATACTTTTGTAGAGAGTTTGCCCTTGCTCCAGCGTACTCTGGAACTGTAATTTAAAAAAAAAATTATCAAACAGAGGCTGATCTGTGGCAAATTTTTTTACCTTTCCATGGGAAAATAAGAAAAAATAAGGATAAGGTAGGGGAGTTTTTAAGTTTGTGTGTTCAATTCGAAGGATTCATCTTAATTCTAAAATCGAGATTGTCAAGTTGTTAAGATGGATGTCAAGATAATCTTTTAAGAAACGATAGGTGATCATTATTATTATTAATTTTTTTTGTGATCATTATTTTAATTTCATTTTATTGGTTTGTAAAATCTATTCCTCTACTAGATGAGAAAGAAAGCTGAATCCTGTGGCTGATCACGTAAGCTCCTCAATCATTCAAATCTGAAATCTGCATGATACCTACATCATACAGTGCACATACATGTTCATCAGTTTTAAATATTGGAGATTCCAATGGAATATTGTCTTAGTCGGCTTGCCGTAACAAAATACCATAGATTGGGTGGCTTAAACCACAGAAATTTCTTTTCTCATAGGTCTGGCGGCTGGAAGTCAGAGATCAGGGTGCCAGCGTGGTCGGGTTTTAAGTACCTCTTCCTGGCTTGAGGCACTGCTTCTCATTATTTTCTTTCATGATAGACGGAGACCAAGGTGTCTGGCCTCTCTTCTTATAAGGGCACTCATCCCTTCATGAAGACCCCACTCTCATGACCTAATTGAACCTTAATTTCCTCCCATAGGCCCCATCTACAAATACCATCACGTTGGGGGTTAGGGCTTTAGCATGTGAATTTTGAAGATACAGACATTCACCCCAATGCAAGTGTCACTATGGTAGTAGGTGTTGTGGTGCTCTTTGGATAACATTAGGCCAGGGATACAGGAATATTCAAATCCTTCCTTAATTAAGCTACCACTAAATTTGGGGAATAATGGCAAAACAAGGCAAATAACACTATTACTAACTAAGGCTTTGAAATCTCTAACTCCAAGGCAAAACTCTGGTAAGCAAAGCAGTTAGGACAGGAGAATTCATTTGCTTTATTAGATGGCTGGCTTGAAAGAACAGCAATAGAGGTTGAAATCCACAGCCCATGAGCCAAGAATGGCTTTTACATTTCAAATGGTTAAAAAAAAATCAAAAGATTTTGTACCATCTGAAAATTCTATAAAGTACAAATTCTAGTGTCCGCAAATAAAGTTTCATTGGAACACAGCCGTGCCCGTTCCTTTATGCATTGTTGTAACTTTCATGCTACCATGGCAGACTTGTATTGTTGCCATGAAAAGAGACTGAAAGAGACTGAAAGATTTATTATCTGACCCTTTAGAGAAAAAGTTTGCCAATCCCTGATCTACAAACCAAGCTTGCCAATGATTTGTTTCGCCTGTTCCCGAGACTAAATCTTAGCTGAAAATGTTTATTCAAAAAGGTGCAGTTATACCCATCGGCACTAGAAGAAATGGATCCAGAGACAGAGAGTATTTACCCCAAAGCCTGGCATGAGCTAGTCTAGGGATTGTCCACTTCAGGCTGTCCAATGCCAGACCCTCATTCTAAGAAAAACTGAGAAAGACAGATGGCTTCACTGAAGGATGAAAGTACACAAGAGACCCTCAGTCCATATGCTGATGGACTGAAAGTTCAACCCTTCCCAAATACAGTCTAGGGTCCTAGAATTGAAGCAAACTAAATGAAGGTTTATCTTCCTTTGAGTCCCTACCCTTCAATTAATATGTGTCCTTGGAGTCAAAGGAGGAATGGAAGCTAAGAGTGGTACCACCCTTTCTGCAATTCAGCCTTGACCAGTGAAATTGATGGCAGTGTTGACATATCAGGCTACTTCCTCTGTTTCTGATTTGTTTTTGTTTTGGTTTCTCTCCCCCCCCCCCCCCCCCCCCCCCCCAAACACATAAAGGTGATTTTAAAGGATGTGGATTCACTTCTCTATGTGGACACCGACGTTCTCTTTCTGAGACCTGTCGATGACATATGGAAGCTTCTGAGGCAGTTTAATGCCACCCAGCTTGCAGCCATGGCCCCTGAGCATGAAATCCCCAAGATTGGCTGGTACAGCCGCTTTGCTCGGCACCCTTTCTATGGCTCTGCGGGAGTTAATTCAGGAGTCATGCTGATGAATTTAACTCGTATAAGAAGTGCCCAGTTTAAGGTAAGGAAATACTTTATATTTCATGTTTAAAATTCGGGATTTTGTCATTTCAACAGTGATGTTCCTAGATTGTCAATGTACTGCTTTTGGAAGTAAGGCGCTTGTAGGTGAGGAAGGAAGGAGCCAGGGAAGAGGAAAATATTTGCAAAGTTATGAAATGTTTGTTTAGGAAGAGCCCAGGTGTTTATGGTATTTAAAGCTACAGCACAGTTACTATTCAAGAATGTTATGTTGCATTTCTGAATTCTATAATGTTTGAATTCTGTGTTTACCCAAAGCTTCAAAAACCATGGAAAATTTTGTGAAATTATCCTAGGGATATATTTACATATGTATACAGAGATATTTGTACAAGGCTGCTCATGGCCTCATCTTTTATCCTAGTAGAGAACTGGAAAGAACTTAAATGAACCTCAGTAGAGAGCTAGTCAATTAAAAAAAATCATCCTCTAATTAAGAAGTAGATCAATCTATAGGTAAGATACATAAGATCTCTAAAAAGATATTAAGGGAAAAAAGTTAAAATGCAACAAAGCATGGTACCATAAGTATGATCTCTTTTATGGCTTAGAAATTTCCAGAAGGAATACCTAATAGAATACCTGATTGTTAACCGTGGATATTTCTGGGAAGAGTGGGGGTGGAAATGGTAGGAGGATGGAGGAAGAATACTTTTACTTTTTAATTTTATCTTTGTGTGCTATTTGAATATTTAGTCTATAAATGTGTTTCTTTTATTTTAAAAGTAAATTATGTTAAGACAAGGAGAAGGTGTTTTCCCTTAGATACCTTAACTCTGCCATCTGTATTTTGTTCCTTCCCCTCTGAGGCAGGAATTAAGCATAAGAAAGAGAGTTTCAATTTGGGCATAGTTTTCTGAGTGGAAACTATAGCCCCAACTAGTGGTTCCTGGCCCATCTAGTATCTATGTGCTACCCCATCTGGCAAAACTCTACAGTTTCCAGCCCTAGTTTTGCTTTGTCCTATGTCTTGAGGCCAGCAGGACCCCTCCTATTTGCTTCATAGGGGGATTTGGGGGATTTGGGGTCCTCTGCACTGTTTCTCAGTGGACAAAATGTATTTGCTTTGCCTCAGCCATTCTAATGGTTGTCTCTTTTCCAGAACAGCATGATTCCAACAGGCTTGGCTTGGGAGGACATGTTGTACCCTCTGTACCAGAAGTACAAGAATGCCATCACATGGGGAGACCAGGATTTATTAAATATTATTTTTTATTTCAATCCAGGTAGGCTCTCTTGCGAGAATGCCCTTTGTGTAGGAGTCCGCCCACCTCGCCCCTCAGAGCGCATTCCAGCCTGGTCTGCTATTGACTGAGCCTGAATTGTGCCTGTGTCCCCTGTGAAGTGCGTCCTTTCATTCACCCCCTGGGCTTCTCCCAGAGGCGGCCCACACACTTCTGACACAAAAGGCCAAATGTTGAAACCTCCAACACTGGACTCCGTTTTTTGAGAATATCTTTTCGATTTTTGCCACACCATTCTTCTAAGAAGTGTGGTCCAAACTAATGGCAGGGCACAGAACTGAATGACAACATTATAGGCTAGGCACGAGGCCTTCCACAGCTGAACAATGGCTAGATTGAGGGGAACTGATTTCTTGAGATCCCTACAGTTAAGTGACTTGTCTGGGAGTTAAATGAGCCTAAAATAAGGACTTAGATTCCCCAGTTCCTTTTTCTTTTCACGGGAGGCAAAAGATGTTCTTAGATTGTTACATCAGTGATTTGGCGGAGTTGGGGGACGGAGGGAGAAGAACATTTCTGATCTATGTTTCTTGGCTGTTGTCGACACCTAAAACTAATAAAATTTCCCTCTTTCTTCTTTGCTAAAACCATTATTTATGTTGTTAAAAATCAAAACCATGTTTTCTCCTTGAGAAAGACCTTTGGGGGAAAAAAGGGGCACTCCTCACCTGGACCTATTCCATCCATTTCTTTGCCTTTAAAAAATCCTGAAGTAGAGACTCCTGTTTATAAAGACTTCTGTCTGTCTGTCTTGTCACCTTGGAAGCACCTACTTTGTACTTGAAATTTTTTTTAAACAAAACTCTGAACTAAAACCTAATGTCTTATGTCGTTGGATCTAAATGGAGCAAATCCTGGAAAAGAAAAAAAAGCAGATTGAAACTGAGTTTCTGGGGAAAATTCCCACTAGTAATTCATTGATGAAGGGAATGTCTTGGCCATTCACTGGTGGCCTGTTTTAATCCATTTCCCTCTGACAGTAACAGGGAATTTAAGGTCTGTATCTCCTCCTTTTCTTCATAAGCAGATTTCATCTTTTTTTCTAGGTGTTGATGTATTAGTTAGGACTCTTGGTTGCATATAAAAGATCCCCCAAGTTAGCCCAAGCACAAAGGATACTTTTTTATAAGCAAACTGATGTCTGCTAGAAACCAGGGCGGGAAGGCCAGCAGGCTCAGCCCGGGACATGAAGCAGGACGGGGAAATTGATGAGGATCCCAGGTCGGACTTGCTTTCTCCCACTGACGTTGTTTATTCTTCTCGTTGTGGACCTCATTCTCTGCTCCTCAGGCCTCAAAGTAGAGTACCAAGGCTTCATACTCCAGGTGCAGCTACATGAAAGGATTAACCCCCAATTCCATCCCAATTCCAAATTCCCAGGGGGAGAAAGCAGACGGTTCCAGCTAGGCCAGGAGCATGGAGCTGAGAAATCATGGCTGACATTTATTATTTACTAAATGCCAGGTGCTGTTCTAAGCATTATCTTCTTTAATCCTCAAAACCACCCGAGAATATAATCCCCATTATACAGACAAAGATACCAAGGGACAGAGAGTTTGTTCGATAATTTGCAGCACTGCTAATGAGTGACGGAGGAGGGGTACAAACCCAGGCCACTCCCAACTTCAGCCCTATGGGTTTGGGAGAGAGGGGAAATTCTAAACAAGGGGAATCCTACAGAGCTGGGCAGACATCCCAAAATGTATCTCTCCACTGAATTATTTGTCCTTTAAATATTGCAATTTTCCCTCTGTAATGTGGCTAAAACTATCTTTTACAAGCCCATCTGTACATACTTCCAAATAGGAATTCAAAAGATTCGCACAATTTCCTCCCCAGAAATCCTCTTAGCCTGTTGCAGATTATTTGAGGACGTGATCAGTGAGTAAATAATACTTGAAGGCAGTTGTAAGCAGCTTTGCAATTAGACAGGAGCCCTTGTCTTTAATTGGAGCTGAAAACCAGCTGGTTTTCTCTGTGCTCCCCATCGTAAATCCATTGAGTACTTGAACATTATAAAATAATTTTTCAAGTTGTTCTAAACCCTGGTTCTGAGCAGGACCAATAACCAAGTTTTCTAGCTTTAGATCAGCAAATTACTAGGTAACTCCTTGATTATTCTTTGTCACCTTCATTGGATCTTCCTTTTTCATACCTTTTTCAGGTGCTTTATTAAACATGAGATCTTTGAACTGAAATCCATTGATATCTTTCACATTATAAACCTTTTCTTTGTTTATATGGGTTGCAATCACTCTCTCTAAACCCGAAAACTATTTTGAAAAAAGATGTGTCACCTTTATCCCTAGAAAGGAGAGAGGGAGAGGAGATTGGCTCCAACACAGGATATAAACATACTTGCTATTATGGTTCTGTAAGTTGCCATGGACAAAGAAGCAATGCACAAAAAACCTGACACATGTCTGGAACATTACTCTTATAGCCTCCTGTAGTCAATAATACCACTTTTTAAAATGTGTGGTTTTTTTTAATGTTTATCTATTTATTTTGAAAGAGAGAATGGGAGGAGGGGCAGACAGAGAGAGAATCCCAAGCAGGGCTCCACGCCATCAGCATAGAGCCCGACGCGGGGCTCAAACCCATGAACCGTGAGATCATAACCTGAGCTGAAATCGAGAGTCAGACGCTTAACGAACTGAGCCACCCAGGTGCCCTTTAAAATGTGTTATAGTCAGGCCAGCTAAGGAAGGGACCAGGGGACGGTCCTGGGAACACATGGGGCAGATTGTGCTACGCCTCTTGGGAATCTGCTAAGGACCAAAGCTGATTTCTCTATCCCTCAGAGGCCCCAGGATCTCTGCTGTCCTTGCTTCTCTCCATGCCTACCTGATTCCATTCTATTTCTCAGCATTCTCTTTATATGTGGCCCAGCCTAACAAGCCCACAGCCAATGATGATGCATATTTGGTAACAGCCCCCTATGTTTCCTAATTCACATTCTTGAAGAGAGAGAGAAACCAAGGAGAGAGAGAAAGAGAGACAAATTTGCCCAGCCCAGCCTATAACTGATTTCCAGCCCAGCTGAAACTTAGTTCTCTTTGGATAGGGAAACCACCCACAATCTGGTCATCAGGAGCCAGAAGAGCAAGGCCTTGTGGCATTTTCCTTTCTCAGACATGAGCCCCTAGGTCTCTCCTTTCTTCGGGAATAATTTTCATAAAGGTGGGCTGTGTGCAGGGAAGGAAGGAAATGAAACCAGCCAAGTATAGACAACGAGGCAAGGCACTCAGCCAGATAGTAACAGTAGGATGCTGCCCACCGGGAGAGGGAAGAGCTGAAATACCCCTGGAATATACCCAGGTTGTCATGGGCTCTACATAGGGTAGTTGAGTGAGGGGTTTGGTGGGGCCACAGGGAGCAGGACACATACTCACATGGCACAGGTCTCTTCAGTGGCCCCATTAGGGCCTTGTTCTCACACTGCCAGTGTCACTGGAGCCCTGCATTTGAGTGTGCAGCCACCCTGGACCCTCCCCCACCCCAAGAGCTCCCAGCATCTGGCAGTGATGAGTGTGTTGCCGGAGTTGACAGCCCCCACTATCTGGTGTTAGGACTGTTCTGGGAGACTGGAAACACCTTACTGTTTGGGGAATCTGGGGGTTTCATGAGCTCTGATACAAAACACAAGAATGAAGATTGTAGGGTCCTTATGGGAAGGGATTGTATCTACTTTTTGTCTTTCACGTGCAAGACTTCACGCCTGAAGCAGGGTTGGTCTTCAGAAGTGTTGGCTGGTTGAACACATGGATTTAAGAGAATGAAGTAAAAAAGGGAAGTGAACAGAGGAGAAAGTCCACAGGAGGGAAAGCGAGGAGAGGAAGGAGAAAGAGAAAGTAAAACAGAAGAACACATGTGGTAAAGGAACGTATAAGGTTCCATGCACTCATTCATTCAGCAGGTATTTTTGAGCGCCTACTATGTGCCAGCCACCATGGTGGGCACTGGGGATATGGCAGCAGACAGAATGGACAAGTTCCTCTTTTCATGATACCCACCTTTTAATTGGAAGAGGTAGACTTCCAAAGAATAGCAACTAGTTCCAAATCACACGTTGTGATAAATGCTATCAAGGGAACAGATGAGAGGTTGAGAGAAAGAGCCTGTCTGGAGGGAGAGGATTGCTTCTTTAGATTGTGCGATCAGGGAGGCCTTCTTGGAAGAATTAATTGCCCTTCTCTGGAACAGGGCACATTCTGGAAGAAGGAAGAAGAGGATGCTAGGAAAGCCTAGTTCCAGAATGAGACAGTAAAGAAACAAAACTAAAAAATGAAAATAACTGTTAATGATGCAATCCAACAGCCTCCATTCTGTTGGTAATATAGCAAATGAGGAGTAAGCCTGTTTCACCATGAAGTGAAGATGACCAGGCATTGAGCTCTTCCATAATCTTAAAGATCTCAAGAGTACGAAATAATCAGAAACGTAAGGAACAATCAATTCACACAGTACTTTGCAAATAGTTAGGAGGCTCTGGAAATAAATGTAGACTCCTGAAGGGATCACTAGCGGACTCCAGAGCCATAGATAATCAGTTAATGAGCTTCTTTATCTATGTAAAATGAAAGGAAAATAGCAAAGACTCAGGGCTTAAACAGGGCTTGGCTTGGAAAAGTATTTTAAAATAAATTGCAGTGGTTTAAGGCTCTGGGGATTTGGAATTTTAAAACCACTCACCGTATTATTTCCCGAGCAGCAGAAAGTAACCTGGACATTTCCCCATGCTATCATTTTTAACCATCAGATTTTGATAGCCCTGATAATCGTGCTTAAAATAGATCCATTTCAGAATGGTTATTGATCACATGCCAAATAACCATCATGAGTCCACTCTGCATGTTCATCAACTGATCTCCATAGGGGTTGCCTCTTCAGTCCACCCCTCTTCTCCTTCCCCCCTTAAAAAATGGAGATTGCAAAGTGTAACCCATGCAAAATTTGTGAATAAAGAGACAAGTCTGTTA